TTGAAGTGAGGTACCCTGTAAAATGTACATGTACAGCAGTAAATTATGCAAGAGCGATTTTCCAACCGCAACTGGGGGGGGGGGGGCTTGTTTTTGATCTACAAGTACATTGTATTATAAACTTTAGTTTGGGTAGAAACCACTTTTCTGCAGTACTACATCGTAGTACATGTATAACAAAGGGCATCTTCTAGGTACATGTACATGTACTAGCATCAATACAGTCATTGTATTGATCCTAGAATCTACATGTAGAAGATGCCCTCTGTCACTTGTCATGATACGGCTACATAATTGTATGCGTCCTTGCACCAGGCTGGAGCAAGAAACCTGCTGCATGCAGAAACATTAGCATCATGACCGATGACAATAATAATTATTAGTTTTCACCTGAAATTATAACAAGTCCGGCAATTCGTAATTGCATTCTTGCCGCGTGAATTGTGTATCTTTTGGTTTTTCCACAAGCAAAAGAGGGATGCCTATATCTGGAGAATCTAAGATACATACAGTAGACACAGACATGAAAGGAAGAGAACTATAAAATTATACTGTAGTATAATTGAAAGGAAAGGAAAAGTGAGGATATCTGCAGGTAGTGTACTGCTTTAAGTAGAGCTAAAACGAACCGCAGAGCTGAAGTCACATGGAAGGAGTAAAAGCATTTAGAGTGGACAGAGACGGAGAGATAGAGAAAGAAAGAAAGTGAGTGAGAGAGAGAGAGAGAGTGAGAGAGAGAGAGTTAGATAGATAGATAGATAGATAGAGAGAGATAGAGAGAGAGAGATAGAGAGATAGATAGATAGAGAGAGAGAGAGAGAGAGAGAGAGAGAGAGAGAGAGAGAGAGAGAGAGAGAGAGAGAGAGAGAGAGAGAGAGAGAGAGAGAGAGAGAGAGAGAGAGAGAGAGAGAGAGAGAGAGAGAGAGAGAGAGAGAGAGAGAGAGAGAGAGAGAGAGAGAGAGAGAGAGAGAGAGAGAGAGAGAGAGAGAGAGAGAGAGAGAGAGAGAGAGAGAGAGAATGGATGCGTGAGTGTGTCCAACATCGTAGAAACTGGGAATGTGCGATTTCTAACTCGCTAACAATAATTGACAATCAACAGTCACAGGAAATGTATACATTGCAATTCATCAGGAGTCTGGACTCCTTTTTGGCAACATAATTATACCGGCACTAGTAAGACGATATGACCAAGTCGACTTCAGCTGATGAGTGCAACATGATGCATCGCCAGACAAGCATGTGAAAACACAATGTAGTTTTAGATAAGAGAAGGAATCAGGGTCACGGTGCACGTGGCAAGATGATTCGCACAGCAGCAGCTATCCCCATGTGAGATCAGCCAGCAAGTCTTGAGTATCCTGGTCATGGGCAGACACAGTCTTCTGATCCGCCTCAGCAACATTGACAGTCTGCTGCTGTTGCTGCTGCTGCTGCTGCATGGAGTCAGCATCCATTAGCTGCTGCTGTTGTTTGCTCGGGGCTGGTGCAGCAACGTTCGCTTTACTGCTTTGCTCAGCGGCGACCCTAGAATGGGCGGCTTTGTTGATTGGCTGTTCGGCCTTGATGCGTTGGTAAATGGACTCGGCGAGCATTTGGATGAATTTCTCATGAGTTGCCACCATGTCCTGTTGGGATTCCTGCTTGTGTGTTTTTGATGCAATTGGTGCCATGTCCTTGTGTACATTGGAGTGAAGGGGCTTGCCTACAGCTGATTGTGCGGGGGCCAAGTGGTCATCATTGCCCGAGTGACCCGTGTATGCAGTGTTCATACCTGGAGTGCCTGCATTCACAATGTTCACACCTGCTTGACTTGTTCGACCTGCAATGTTAACTCCTGGGGGACCTGGTGGTCCTGCAATGTTAACTTCTGGTGGGCCTGCAATGTTAACTCCTGGGGGACCTGGTGGTCCTGCAATGTTAACTCCTGGGGGACCTGATGGTCCTGCAATGTTAACTCCTGGGGGACCTGGTGGTCCTGCAATGTTCACTCCTGGGGGACCTGGTGGTACTGCAATGTTAACTCCTGGGGGACCTGATGGTCCTGCAATGCCCACTCCTGGTGGTAATGCAATGTTCACTCCTGGGGGACCTGATGGTTCTGCAATGCCCACTCCTGGTGGTAATGCAATGTTAACTCCTGGGGGACCTGATGGTCCTGCAATGCCCACTCCTGGTGGTAATGCAATGTTAACTCCTGGGGGACCTGATGGTCCTGCAATGCCCACTCCTGGTGGTAATGCAATGTTCACTCCTGGGGGACCTGATGGTCCTGCAATGCCCACTCCTGGTGGTAATGCAATGTTAACTCCTGGGGGACCTGATGGTCCTGCAATGCCCACTCCTGGTGGTAATGCAATGTTAACTCCTGGGGGACCTGATGGTCCTGCAATGCCCACTCCTGGTGGTAATGCAATGTTCACTCCTGGGGGACCGGATGGTTCTGCAATGCCCACTCCTGGTGGTAATGCAATGTTAACTCCTGGGGGACCTGATGGTCCTGCAATGCCCACTCCTGGTGGTAATGCAATGTTAACTCCTGGGGGACCTGATGGTCCTGCAATGCCCACTCCTGGTGGTAATGCAATGTTCACTCCTGGGGGACCTGATAGTCCTGCAATGCCCACTCCTGGTGGTAATGCAATGTTAATTCCTGGGGGACCTGATGGTCCTGCAATGCCCACTCCTGGTGGTAATGCAATGTTAACTCCTGAGGGACCTGATGGTCCTGAAATGCCCACTCCTGGTGGTAATGCAATGTTCACTCCTGGGGGACCTGGTGGTCTTGCAATGTTCACACTTGAGGGAGGTGGTAGGCCTGCCGCGTTTACACCTGGGGGTGGGTGGCGATATGCAGCGTTCACACCTGGGGGTGGGCGGTGATATGCAGCATTCACACCTGAGGGTGGGCGGTGATATGCAGCATTCACACCTGAGGGACCCCACCCTTGCCCTGCAGCATTCGCGTCTAAGTGAGCCACATGGTCAGCGAATGTTCTCGGGAAAGCCACCTTCCTGGCCTCGAGGCGATCAAAAATGGCCTCTGTCAGCACATTGATGAAGGCCTTTTGCTGCTCAGCTACTGCAGTGGCTTCACGTGGTTGTTCAGCATTCTGAATGATCTGTTGCTCATTGTCAGCGTCATCAGCAGCAACATTGCTGGCAGCTTCAGTTATTGCGGGTGCTTTGGTGGTGGCAGCAATAGACTGCCAATATTTGCCACCATCCTCAAAGTCCTTGATCTTGAAAGTTTCCTCTGCCTGTGAGCCTGGTTGTGCTTCAGCCGTGTTAGTGTCGGCGGCTTTTGCAGCAACATCATCTGCCTTCAATACCTCGGACAGGTCAGTATCACTGAGCTCTTGGGTGGATTCCAGGGCCTCACCAACGCTCAGCTTGTCAGTGGCACCAGAGTCGGGATGCATTTGCAGTTCTTCCTTGCGTAGCTGCTTCAGAACTTTCTCTAGGCGCTCCTGAGTGTACACACACACACACACACACACACACACACACACACACACACACACACACACACACACACACACACACACACACACACACACACACACACACACACACACACACACACACACACACACACACACACACACACACACACACACACACACACACACACACACACACACACACACACACACACACACACACACACATACCGGTAACATGAGTAAAATAAACAAAACAACAGTTTCAAGTCTTAGCACTGCAAAACCGCATCACAAAGATTGCAGGTGTGGCCAGTGAGATCTCACCCATATTTTTTTTTTTACTATTGAACACTCACTGCATGATGAACTAAAATGAGGAGAAGAACTCGACACAATGGTACATATCCAGCAGGACGGAGTGGGTGAGACCTGTGAAGCTCAGCCGACCAAGGGTCTCGGCATCACAGCTGCACATGTGCACCAAAGGAAACAAAAATGGGGAGTGGAGCAGGAGAGCAAGAACTCTAAGGGTAGGAAAGAGAGGAGGGGGGGGGGGGGGGTAGGAAACCAGGAAACTTGTTATTCCAAGATATGAGTGCAAACAAGTATGCAAACAAGTACAAATATAGCAGTATCAAGATCATGATGCTGAGGCGAAAGTAGAGGCTGATTGCCGTGCAGATTTGACGAAAGATTAGAGTTAGAATGGAGGAGAGTTAGAGAGAGATAAAGACAGATGGATTGGGAGTTTGATGAGAAGGGAGTGCTCCAAGAACATGAACAGGGTCGTACTGGCAGTAGCCTAGGGGGCGATGTCCGTGGCCAATGACCAACCCGACCGTTTCAGGTAGCGGTAGGTCTGAACCTTGAACTGCTGCATCCCTTTGGCAGACGGTGCATCGCGGAGGAGAGTTGCTGGCAGTTCATTCCAGGCTTCGATGAGGCACTCCGGGAAAGAGCGCAGCGCAACATTGCACGATCTGGCAGGTCGGGCTGTCTGGAGTTGAAGCTCGTGCACAAGGTTGGCTGCCGAGCGGCGACGTGTGGCAGGCGCGATGGCGGGTGCGATGGCTCTGGCTGGGCGTGTCGCTGCAAGAGCTGGCGGGCTTGCGATGTAATGGAGCTTGTACAGAGTTGTGAGGCCGGCCACACGGCGCCGCAGGGACAGAGTGTCCATTGCAGCCCCTGTCCCAATCAGGGTGAGGGCACGATGCTGGACTCGGTCCAGCTGTGAGAGATGGGTAGCCGCAGCTCCCATCCATACAAGTGGACAGTACTCCATTAGAGGCCGAATGAACCCCCGGTATGCTGTGGCCCGGCCCGGTGGGTCCAGGACATGGCACGCCTTCCGGAAGAAACCAATTCGCTGTGTGGCACGCACTGCAGTTCCTCGAAGATGCTCCGAGTATGTTAGATGGGCATCAAATGTCACTCCAAGGAGCTTCAGCCGCGAGCATTCTGGGACCGCTGTGCCGTTGAACTTGATGGGTGGTGTCTCCCAGGGTCTGCGGTGGCGGGACACAGTCATGGCCTGTGATTTCGTTGGCTCAAAAGTGACGCGCCACTGAGCACCCCATTCAGCAAGCGCATCCACACCAGCTTGGAGGTTGTGGCACACTTCTGTCACAGCATGTGGCGTTGGGATGTGGGCATAAAGCGTGGTGTCATCTGCGTAAACAGCCGGAGTGATCCCTTCCGGTAGGACGTCGCAGGCGTCATTCACGTACAGCAAAAACAGTGTGGGCCCAAGGATGCTCCCTTGTGGGACCCCAGCATCAATCTTGTATGGTTCTGAAGATGCTCCGCCGACTACTGCCTGCAACTTCCTGTCATACAGGTAGGCAGACAGCCAGTTGAGAAGGGGACCAGTGATGCCATATGACGAAGCCTTGTGGAGCACGCCTCGGTGTGAAACTTTGTCGAATGCTCCTGCTATGTCGACAGCCAGCACGCGGACTGCGCCACCACGGTCGACTTCGGAAACCCAGGAGTGGTTGAGAGACGTGAGAAGGTCAGATGTGCTGAGCCCCTGCCGGAATCCGTACTGGTGGATGGACAGAGCCTTTTCATGCTCAAGATGATTGATTATGGCAGTGTTGACAATCTTCTCCATGACTTTGGAGACAACAGATAACAAGGACACAGGTCGGTAGTTCTTAACAGCAGAATGAGATTGCTTCTTGTGTATCGGGACCACACGGGCTACTTTCCAGAGAGAGGGCTGGACATGACACCGAAAACAGAGTGAGAACAGCTTGGCAAGTGGTGCAGCCAAAACTTTTGAGCACTGCTTCAGAACTCTGGCAGGGATGCCATCGGGTCCGGTAGCCTTGGTTGAATCCAGCTGGCGGAGCTGGCGCTGGACTGTCGCTTCCCGAAATCGGACAGTTGTCAGGGCAGATGTACACCTAGGAGGAAGGTCAGGAAGGTCGGAGTGCTGTAGATCTTGATCACCCAGACTGCATTTGCTCGCAAAGAATTCTCCAAAGCAAGTAGCCTTTTCCTGGTTGGTGACATATTCTCTACCCTGGGCATTGCGTAGGACAGGGATAGACGAGCTGCGGCCAGAGCCTGCAGCTTGCTTCAGGAGTGACCACCATTGCTTGTTTCGCAGTGATCCATGTTTGAGCCGATCTCGGATGCGGGCAGATTCTGCCTGCTTTGCGAGACGAAGGCAATTGGCAGAGCCTCGGACTTTGGCATTGTAGTCAATGAGTTGCTGGTGGCAGGTGGGGTGTCTCCTGAGACGGTTCCATGCATTCTTCTTTGCCTGGGTAGCGGCTGAGCATTCCGGCGTCCACCAGGATGGATCTGTTGGTTTCGTCGAAAGTTCTTTGTGTGGAATGAAGCGATTCATGCCTTCCATGACAACAGCGGTTACTGATCTGCACGACGCCTCGGGGTCTTCTGATATATCCCAGTTTGCTGTTGAGTAGAAGTGCCGAAGCCGGCCCCAGTCTGCCTGAGCATACCTCCAAACGCGCCGTTTAGTCGGTGGTTCGCGGAGTGGGGTGGCATCAAAAGTGGCCACAACGGTGGCATGGTCTGATGCTCCAATGGGGTCCAGTACATTTACCACCACTGAGGTCTCCGAGAAGTCGCTGAGTATGAGGTCCAGGGTGTTCTCACCACGTGTCGGTTGAGTAACGTGCTGGTGGAGCCCGTGGAACGCAGAGAGTTCTTCCATGTATTCACCAGCCGGTGTAGTCTTCGTGCTGCATAGCCAGCTTTCATTATGAACATTTAAGTCCCCGGCTATCACGACGCTGTTCCCGAGGGATCGAGCTTGATCCATGACTGAGTCAAGATACTCAAGCAGAGAGACATCTTGTCCAGGGCACGACCCGGGTCGGTACACTGCACATACAACTACTTTCTGGCCATTGTCCAGGTGCAGGCGAAGCCAGATGACCTCATGGCCATGGCAGTTGATGTCACTCAGGTGGTCAAAGGAGAGGGAGTCCCGGACCCAGGGTCAAGTCGGAGGGGTGGGTGGAAGCCCGGCATGGAGGAGTCAGATAGTGAGGCTTTCTCCGGGGTGAGTTTAGTCTCTGTTACGATGGCGATGTCAGATCTGCTCCGTGCAACAGCATGCTGGAAGGCTCCAAACTTTGACAGCAGCCCAAAAGCATTTGTCAGCAGGAGCTTCATTACTGGGTATGTCCTTGCGCAGCTGGTGTTCATTGGTGTTTGTGTGACTGAATCGCTCCAGCTGAGGCAGCCTCTTCCTCACTGTCCCTATCGCCTCTGCTGCCCACGTTGCCGGCGCCAGCTGCACCAGATGAGCTGTCACCCTGCGGCCGTTTGCGGTGTCGCCAGGCTCGAGCGTAAAGTGGTCGTGGCCAGAAGTTCGCAGCAGTGACTGTTTCTAATCCAGTGGCGTCGAGCGTCAATCGGGCTGAGACTTTCCCGTCTTCCGTGGTGTGCATGCTGCACTCATGGACTTTGACGGATTTGGCCACGGCCACAGATCGCTGCTGAGTGAACTCTGTCACTCGTTCCTCTGTGCAATCCGCGTGCAGATTTCCCACATACACGACTGCCTTCCTTGTTTGGTGGGTTCTTTGGATACTAGTTTCCACGATTCATCAGCGATTGGGTCGAACGATGTTTTCTGGGGCTTGACTGGAGGGCGCCCAACAGTCTGAAAACTTTCGTCTTCCTCGCTCGAGATCTCACGATCACTGCCAGTGTCATCCACGTGTACGCGTTTGAAAGCGCTACGGTGTTCTCCTGCTGCTGCACCAGTGCACTTGGTGACCTGGTCTCTTCGCGTACGGCTACGAGATCCGTTCCGCCTCGTCGTACTCTGCATCTGGGGTTGTTGTTCAGCAGGAGGAGAGGTAACACTTGCCGTTGCAATGGCGGACTCCTTCATGGCGACAACTTCCTCTTTCAGTCCTGTTATCTGCATGACCAGTTCGTCAATCCTGTTTTTGAGACGGACCTCCCGGTTTGCAGATTCCGACACGAGCGCTGACAGCGTCTTGACCATTTCAAAGACGGACGATTCAATTTCAGGGATGGAGCTCAAAACTTTAATTTCCGATTCCGTCAGGCTGCGAGTGGTAGTTCTGGCCGGCATAGCTACCTGTGTCTACCTACTAGTACTACCTAGACTATCTACTACTCACCACTCTTCTCTTCTACCCTGTAACCTGGTAACTACATGTACCTCCAGACCGGCCTGGTGCCGGCTGGCCTGGGCTGATAAATCGCACGAAAAACTACGGAGCTCGAAAAAGTCTAACTGTACTCTTCAGCTACATGAAAAAAACCCTATGCAGTGCCAAAAGGCTACATGGCGTCTCGCTCAAACACAAGTGCGGACGGATAACAAGTCTTCAAAAATCAATTTGTGGCACTAAGAGTGTACATGAGTCTGTGTTTCCTGCCTACAATTGTACTTTTCTCATTTACCAGTTTTAAGCCAAGAGTACCCGTCAGCCTAGACTAGAGTGTGCAGCCCCTACGACGTAGCTAGTACATGTACATGCAGTGATGTACTGAGAATAGTTCATGTTGACGTCACTGGATGGTGCACTACGCCTCCACAATGTTCGCGTCAGGGAGTAGTACAATAATAATGGTATTGTACTACTCCCTGGTCGGTACAAATAAAAAACGAAGCTATCATCACAGGTCTACAACACACACATATAGGGCACGTCTGAGACGACTTGCACACCATGCGTTGCACTATACGTTGAGTTATTCTGTCTGGACGGCACAAATACAGTGAAACTTCAGTACCGCTTTAGGAGCTTCATCTGCGCCTTGATCCTTGAAAGGTGGTGGGGTTCCTACGGATGCGGAAAACTCGGCCTCTAGCCGAGTCTGACGCGAACCGTGACATTTTTTAATATATAATATTTTAGTATAAAGTACGCTGGATATACATGTAACGCACCTTTCTCTTTGCATTGAACCTTTTTTTAACGGCACTGTGTACTCTGTTTCACTGTCATTTTGACATTGCATACTATAGTGTACAGCACCTCATCTACAAAGTCTCGAATGGAGAGCCGAGGACTACAATAAAAAAAGGGAAGGACCAAATGTTTACAACGGCTATCCGTTATTTGTGTCCAACACTAACACAATAAGCAAGACACAGGCGAGTCAGAACGTGCAGCAATTAGCACAACACTGACTGATGTGATACTGACATTCAACGACCTGATGCTTAGCTGCATCATGCCTTAAATTAAATGCGCAAACCAACAGCCTTCCAATTCGGAAGGTTCTAAGTTAAGAAATCACCGATAAGAAAGTGAAGACGAGACCAAGCTAAACATCACAGCAAACTGAGAATGTTAGCTATGACAAGATGATGATGATGACGAAGGACGAAGGACCAAAGCACAGGATGGCCACAGCTCACGTCAAGAACACGAAACAATGACCACCCAACTTGGGAGGTTCATGTTATCGGAGATAAGCAAAGGAGGTGAGACAGACCGGACGGCATTATCTCTTTGTACTATACTACATGTAGAATGCACCTTTCGTTATTCGTTATTTCATAACTTAGGACCTTCCAAGTTGTAAGGCCGTTAGAAAGTATATGCACTAGAGTTGCGCACTTCAGGCAGGCATGTGTTCTTGATCGGACATAAAGTGTTTTCCTGAAGAGTCTCCACTCCGGACCATTTTCCAGTCATTTCAGATATAGAGGTCCTGGTTTACGTTGCTGGAGGTACACCAGGGGTGTGCACAGGAACCTGATGAAAAGGGGTCAGGTCGCGCCCAGGACTCACTTGAACCAGGGTGCCAGGGAATCGTCGAATACTTGATATGACGACTCCTTGGTCAGCGCAAGCCGTTTTTCTTGCAAAATGCATTCGAAGTGATTGCATACTGTCCATCTCAAATATTCAATGTTTCCATGTATTTCGGTTGCGTTCTCGTCGAGAGGGCTGGTTCTGACCACCTTAGTTCTGAATGACTTTCAAAAAGGGACAGGGAACCACAATGTCACAATGAGTATTTTTTGGACGGCTGCCAATATAATAATTATCACATTTGAGTAGGTTGCCGTTTACAATCGCAAAGACATAAGCGATCTGGTTTCGAGATTTCAAACTTTCGATCATTGTCGCCTAGTTTTGCTGATGGTGGTGGAGATGTTAATTGGGAACTCGTGGCCTGGCATGAGTAAAACATGGATGTGGCAAATGGGATTTAGGCCTTTGGCCTATGGTTGGTGGATCTGATCTATCCTTCCCCACCGTTTAGGAGCCGCATCTGACGCCTGATCATGGGGTGGTGGCGTCCCACGGAAGCGGAAAGGTGGTTCTTGACCAGGGAGTTGTACGACTCCTTGTTCTTGACCTGCCCGGTACGCGAACCCGTTGATACGGGTTTTTTTTCTTCTTTTGGTGGAGATGTGAATTTCTTCCAGTATAATATCCCAACGTCTTCAAGACACGGAGGAACACACGGAGGAACACACGGAGGAAGCAGGAGGCTGCCAGTGCGGACAAACATAAATTTTAGAATTTTCAGCCGGTGAAAGCGGCAAACAGCTTTCCAATTGTGTTTCTAGTGTGTTGCTGCCAGTTTCGCAGCGACAGTGTCGCCTTACCCAGACTGTGGTAGTACCGGTAATACCGTAGTATGGTGTGGCACACCGTGCGGCGGTTGCATCACATCGTACCATACAGCGCACATGCTAGACTTGTAGCAAGAGCACATAACCCCCCAGAGTGTGCAGCGCCGATCCAGCTCTGTGTAGGGTCTTGGTCGAGCGGAATCGGATCTTCTGATGTCATGCGTACACTTCACACCAGCGCAAGGCCGGTCTCGAGGCAGGGCACCATTGTTTTTGATCCAAGAGTACCCGCGACTCCCCGGGTTCCCCTCAGATGTGTACGGTATTATGACGCAAAGATCCGATTCCGCTCGACCAAGACCCTATGCAGAGCTGGATCAGGCGTTGCACACTCTGGGGGGTTATGTACTCTTGCTTGTAGTCTTTCAGCCGTCGTGATCTACGGTATAATTGTGACCTTTTGTCACCTCACGAACACTGCATTCACAGTGCTAGTAATCGGGTCAGTTGTTCCTCTCAATAAACCTGTTCAATAGCTTGTGACATGGCAGAGTGGCATAACTCAAGTCGCGACCTTGTGCCGTTGTGGAGCTGCTCAAGCAGCAACAGCAACACTGCAACATGCCATGGCATGGGAGGTGAGGTGACAACATGCAGGTAACAACTGAATAGTTACATGTCTAGCATCAAGAGTACATAACCCCCCAGAGTGTGCAACGCCTGATCCAGCTCTGCATAGGGTCTTGGTCGAGCGGAATCGGATCTTTGCGTCATAATACCGTACACATCTGGGGGGGAACCCGGGGAGTCGCGGGTACTCTAGGATCAAAAACAATGGTGCCCTGCCTCGAGACCGGCCTTGCGCTGGTGTGAAGTGTACGCATGACATCAGCAGAGGGAAGATCCGATTCCGCTCGACCAAGACCCTACACAGAGCTGGATCGGCGTTGCACACTCTGGGGGGTTATGTACTCTTGCTAGCATGCGACACACTGTGTGGTGCAATGTGCTAGAACTGCCACAGCATGTGTGGCGCCATACTGTTACCACACAGACTATGAGCACGACACTATCAATATCTATACTTGGCAATACCAACAGCAAACAGCGGCGGTAGTACCGTAAAGTACCGTTGATCCGCCCCCTCTCTAATTCCCGCCCCCTCTCGATTTTCTACTTGTGAAGCGACTTCGGCGTATACAACGAAATACGATGTTGAACCGACGCGTGCACTGCTGTACACAATACGTGTCAATCCAGGATGAAAATGTGCACAATCCAGCACATCGAGTCTGATCCTCTACGTTGTTGTACATCGTACTACACTTGACAGCCTTGATCTAATTCCCGCCCCCTGCCGAAAACCCAGCTGGGCAGCGACATGGCGTTGGGGGGGGGGGGGGGGGGGGGGGCGCGGATCAATGGTACTTTACGGTATTCCCAAAACCTGAATCTATACAGTAATATCACAGTGTATTCTCTGTACATGTACAGTTTGGCAATACAACATCGCTGATGGCACTACTGCTAGTACAATAGACTTACCAGCACCTCCACCCTCTTCTCCTCCAGACCAGCTATTGCAGAAATGCGAGAAATACACAACATGAGACATGGACATTATATCCTTGGCTGATTCAGCACGATTGAGGCTCCCTGTACGGATAGGCTAGAGACGACCCACCGCCAGCGACAGCATTACCCTTCCATAGCTAATCAAGATCCTGTTAGTCTGTGTAGCAGCCAATTTTAGCATGGAAACTGTTTTGTACAATTTCGTACACTTTGTCTAGTGAGTAGTGCCCTAGATTAACGCTGTAATTGCTACTGCATAACCATTTGTTTGCTCTTTGGCCAGTGTAGGAAACATTTTAGGTACAGATATGGGTACAAATTAAATTACCCACTGTATATTTATAGAAAAGAAAAAAGGACCAAGGAACTATAAGTTACGCTATAATGTCCACTAACACCACCAGTTACTAAACAATCAGTTCATGCGATAACATTGCACGACATTGATCGACGGTACTGACGTTCTACAACGTCCAACGCCAACGTCCTTCACAGCTGAGACTGTCAGCTCGTGCTTATCTTGGTTGCGCTCACCTTCCCCTCCTTATGTTATCAGGGTTCTAGCCAAAGGGGGGGGGGGGGGGGAGCAGCGCCCCCCTACTCTGTTTGCGCCCCCCCCTGTGAAAAATTGCCGCCCCCTACTCATTTTCCGATTTTCGTGTTTTTAATGCATAGATGGTTCATTAGGGCACATTTGTCTGGGGTGAAGTCAGGGATTCGCCCCATACGTTGCATTTGGCGTGGCAAGACAATATTGGCAAGTGGAAAAATGGGATATAGGGTAACTGTTTCCCATGCCCACCCCCTACTTTTTTAACCTGGCTAGAACCTGTGTTATTCTATACCTTAGAACCTTCCAAGTTGGTAGGCTGTTGGAGTGCGCATCCAAGATGTGCTAGAGCTGTTAGCCAGTTAGTTGTAGAACGTCAGTACCGTTGGTCAGTGTCGTGCAATGTTATCGCACGAGCTGATTGTTTAGTAACTGGTGGTGTTAGTGGACATTATAGCGCAACTTGTAGTTCCTTGGTCCTTTTTCTTTTCTATAAATTAATCCTCGGCTCTCCGTCCGAGTCCACTGTATATTAGTTGCCGTAGAGCAGCCATGAATGTGGCAACTTACCAGCATCATTAGCAATGTTGATATCATACAACTTACCAGCATCATTAGCAATGTTGATATCATACGATAGAGGACGTTGTGGGTGCACTGTACGCACTACGACACATAGGGTCAGCAGCAGAAATCTGAAATCCATGTCGGTGTCTAGCAGAGCACATGAAGAAAGAGAGATATCTATCAACTACTGATAGGCAGGTTATTTGTGTAGTACTAGTACTAGTACATCTGTACAGAACTCCTCACGCCATTGTCATGATGAGTCAGCTAGTATCGGACATTGAGATAACCGTGCGGCCGGACTTCATTGTGCAAGCACCGCAAGGTCATACGTCAGAAAAAAATGCATAAACAATTTGATGGCTGCTAGCGTTGAATGAAAAGGCGGCAAGGTGACAACAGTTTAACAGGATTTCAATACACAGGTAAACATGTCTTTCTTTGTCCATCGCCACTTCTCTCTAGAATTTGTTCGTGACATCTCAATAAAGCCTTCATAAAAATGTCGTTTCAGCTGGTTCTGCTTATTGCAATCCTTTAACGTGGAATGTTTAAGAATTTTCATCACGGTATTCTTGAAACTCAACATGTCCAAAGAAATCCGACCTGTGGGTCAATAGTAGCACTGCGTGTCCGTTTCAATTACGTCGTGCATAATCCAAAAACCGTCCGAGTGCCGCAGGGTCCCACATGAGACTTGGCGCTGCTTTCGGCTCAAGGGCCGAATTTCTTTTGGCCTCAACTGTGCTCAGTTCCATTTCTCCCCCATGTTATTGACGAGGATTCATCCTCCCACCAACCCAAGCACTGGACACTCTGGACTGAGGCATGCCTATCATATACAGGCTTGCCAGAGTGCCCAGCACCCAGTGATTGTGTGATACATGTAGTATGTGAAGCTTGACTTACTGTTGTCAGTGTTGATTGTGACATACAGTGCCATTACATTCATACCTCAGTTATCCCGACACCACACCCTCTTACTAGTTAGGGCGAGGTTTTGTGGAAATATTTCAAAATATTACTACTCTTTTTTTCACTTTTTGTGGAAAAATAGTGACGTCATATGCTATCAAGAGTCGGGTTAACCGGTTATGGACTCTTGATGCTATCTATGGCCTTTCCCCGTCAAAATGTATGGGACTCGGAGTTAGGGACATTTCAAAGTTATCAGGGGCAGTGCCAGGTCCCAGACCGCCCAAATTAATCATCATGGGAAGGTAAGCGCACTGGCCTGGCCATGTAAGTACATCAGTTATAAGTACAATCGCCATGTACTCTACTTTCATTGTCTTGTTTCATGCTTGAAGCATCAGTGCCGCAGGCCAGGAGCTTTGCTGTACTATTATTTCGTAATTGTATGTCAGGAAGTAGGATCTAGAAGGTGCCAGGTGTCACTGTACGTGCAGTAAACAACCAAGCTGCAAGAGCCAGGTGTCACTGTACGTGCAGTAACTGACAACCAAGCTGCAAGAGCCAGGTGACACTAGACTGACGGTACTGTGTACTGACAATAGATCATTAACCCACATGCATGCACGCATACACACAATAAAACTTAAAACAACCAAAACATCAATATGCACATTTATCCAGACACGCTCTCACATACACACGCACGCATGTGCGTGCCAAACGTACAAAACGTGGACACGTGTACACCAAGCAGATAGAATACAAGGAAGTGGGGTTTGCCATAGTTTTTTTTTTTCAATTTTGTCTGATAAATATTTACGAGACTTTGCATCGAGCGACACCGTGGATAACATTGAGCCAAGAATTATGCAATAAACCAGAAGAGATATCTCTTCACAAGTAGGCAAATAAATGCGTAGGTGCCCGGCAACAGCAATCGGGCGAGTCACAGCAATGTACGTATTGCAACTTCAATGATACACATACACGGTTGACCACCCATGCCTCCATTTTCGGCGGGTCAACCACATGGTGGCCCGGCAACTTCAAACGGGAACACACCGATACAACATACACAGTTGACCACCCATGCCTCCATTATCGGCGGGTCAACCACATGGTGGCCCGGCAACTTCAAACGGGAACACACCGATACAATAGACACAGTTGACCACCCATGCCTCCATTTTCGGCGGGTCAACCACATGGTGGCCCGGCAACTTCAAACGGGAACACACCGATACAGTAGACACAGTTGACCACCCATGCCTCCATTTTCGGCGGGTCAACCACATGGTGGCCTGGCAACTTCAAACGGGAACACACCGATACAACATACACAGTTGACCACCCGTGCCTCAAACCGGCGGGTCAACCACACAACAACATACAGGTGTCACAACACTGAGACAGTACAGCACAACACTGAGAGGCAAATGCATTTGACCCTCCCAAAAACCAGTGTTTACGACCAAGCATTTCTCACGGCATCGCTCATTAGCATAACTTCCTGCAAGTAACCATGGCAAACCCCTAAGTGATACCCACAGAGCCACACCGGCACAAGGACTGCACAACAAGCGGAAGGCACAACACTGTACAACACTACAAATGTACCTCACTTCTGTTCTCAACACCACATGGGCGTGGGCTGTTCCAGTCTTTGCTGCTAGCCATTGCACAGAGGGTATACCGGCTGCACGCCTGACATAGTGATCGGATGCTGCACTTCGCCAGCAGCCTGCACGGCATATGGCTGCTTCACAGGCACTTGTACTCCGGTGAGCCATGAGTGTGGCCCCGCCAATGCGCACAGAATGGGAGCTCACCCGGTTGCAGTTGAGGATCCTAGTCGAGAAAACTCGGGAGAAGTAGCCGCCGTCGACGAACACAAACACTGGCCGTGAGCTGCCGGCAGTCGCGGTCAGGGACCGGAACTCGGCCATAGCCGAAACTGGGTACATCAGATTATGTGTGCGCAAATACCGGGCTTAAAGGTCTGAGTCGCTCATGAGATCATTGCTGGCAGCAATCAGAGCGGCGAGTTCAGCGGAGGAGTTGGCACCAGGCACTGGTTGGCTGTGGAAGCCAGTTCTCGGAAGCGAGTAATCACAATAGAGAGGTTCTGCTACACGGAACTACGTACCAAATTCCGTGTCAACTGCAGTGCAGTTTGACACGGATTTTTCCTACGTTGCACCGGTTCTGCTGTACGTAGCATGCACGAAGCATGCACGAACACCCCGCCACATGTACTCTGTACGCTCACTTTTCACACGGAGTCCAGTCCGTGTGAAGCGAGCTTCACACGGAAAACGGTATGAAAAAATCCGTATCAAACTAAATCCCGTACCGCGGCGAAGTTTCCATACGTACTTTGGCACGTTATACCGTGTGGCAGAACCTCACTACTAGGTTCATGCTGCATCTCAGCGGCCCGTTGCCCCAAAAACGATTGTCCTTGATAGAAACCGCAGAAGCCAACATCAGAGGAATCCGTGAATAGCTCAAGGTCAGGGGACTTTGAAAACTCGACATCGTAGAAGAAGGATTGGCCATTCCAGTTTGCGGCAAAGGAGCGCGACCATTCGATGTCCAAGTGAGCTTTTGTGTTGATGTTGACTACTGACTGAAGAGAGTTGTCCAGCTAAGATACAGGAGTTGACGGATGAAGGTCCTGCCAGGAGGAACCACCTTTGCGGCAAGGACAAGGTTCCGATCAGCGACAGCAGTTCCCGCGTTGTGTAGCTAGTGCGCGTGGACTACTCACTCAAAGCCGCTAGAAAGGCAAATAACTTCTTGTCAGGTAGCCGCATCACCTGGTCCTCGCTGTCGACTTGTATGCCAAGTACCGTCACCACTGTTGCTGGGCCGACCACCTTGCTGAGGTTGTCGAAGACCTGCGGAACCGTTGCTTTCAGTTGAACTCATTCCATTGACCATCAAGCACACGAACATAAGCACCTTGTTAAAGGGGAAGTATACCCTAAAATCAAATTTTCACCAGTTGTAGTCTACGGGGTGCTGAGTCGAATGGTCTTGGTCCGAGGAAGCTGAGACGCTCCCTTCCTACTTGAATCCCAATCGAACTCGCGCACTTCCACCGAAACTGGGTGACTGCGCCCTACTAGATGGGGATTTGTATGCAAAATGTCACTAAAAGCGCCATTTCGTTCTTATAAAAGCACGGATGACCGCGATTGGCCCATATGTTGTAGTCTTTTGGACGCTGAGTCGACTGGTTTTGGTCCGAAAAGGCTGCGATGCAGCGTTCCTCCTTTATTCCCAATCGAACATGGTTGAAGAAGCGGTCACGTGCTCGTGCGTACACCAGTCGCCTGGTCACCGTGCCTGCAGGGTACAACTTACTAGCCTGTTTGACCTTTTTTGGGTGCAGTCCTGTCACTCGAGTTGAACTCGAGTTGAACCTTGGTGTGAAAGTTGTCGCCTGCTGGCGCGGTGACCAGGTGATTTGGGCACCCAGGAGCACGTGACCGCTTCTTCAACCATGTTCGATTGGGAATAAAGGAGGAACGCTGCATCGCAGCCTTTTCGGACCAAAACCAGTCGACTCAGCGTCCAAAAGACTACAACATATGGGCCAATCGCGGTCATCCGTGCTTTTATAAGAACGAAATGGCGCTTTTAGTGACATTTTGCATACAAATCCCCATCTAGTAGGGCGCAGTCACCCAGTTTCGGTGGAAGTGCGCGAGTTCGATTGGGATTCAAGTAGGAAGGGAGCGTCTCAGCTTCCTCGGACCAAGACCATTCGACTCAGCACCCCGAAGACTACAACTGGTGAAAATTTGATTTTAGGGTATACTTCCCCTTTAAGTGCAGCGTACTGGTTCTTGTGCTGGCGCATGGCCTGCACAGCTATCAGGAATAGTTTTACCCAGAATTACTGGGTTGATGATTTCTCCCTGAGATAGGGTAATGCCACGTGCACAGCAGATGTGGTGCATAACGAACGCACAGTGGGCATAAAATCTTCATATCCACATCAAAGGCCACAAGCGTTTGACAACCACACCTGATACGTAGATGATCAACGATCGTCCCTGCACTCAACGTCGCTCCAGCAGTAGTAGCATGTTGCAAACCACCATCGTACGTTGTCCATGTAAATGCCTCTGCTCCTTGTCTACTTCTTTGGCTAGATTTTTTGACAGGTAATCACAGCCATTTCTGAGTTGGCGTCAACGCCACTCGCCATGTCGAGGCCTAAATAACTGGTCCTCTGCTTCGAGTAGTTCTTGCTTGGCCTCATGAACTCCAGGAAATTCACTACTGCGACCATGAGCTACTCTATCTGCCCACGCAACAAATAAATATTTCAACCAAGCGCGATCGATCGCTGTTTGAAGTTGTGAATTTTCAAGCGCTTCCAGCTCACACGAGTCAGCGCTTGTCTACGCAGACTAGCACAACTAATACTCTTGTACAGCTTGGCGGAGAGACAAAGGAGAAAACGGAGAAAACACAACCTTGAGTCACTTTGGCTAACTGGATGACAGAAATTGTTGACAAGGAAGTTGTAATTGTATGTCAGGAAGTAGGATCTAGAAGGTGCCAGGTGTCACTGTACGTGCAGTAAACAACCAAGCTGCAAGAGCCAGGTGTCACTGTACGTGCAGTAACTGACAACCAAGCTGCAAGAGCCAGGTGACACTAGACTGACGGTACTGTGTACTGACAATAGATCATTAACACTTGAGACATTGCATAATCTTCTTTCTTGAACTTAGGCCCCAAGCTTTCAGTCATTTTTCCGACAAACTTGAACACACTTAAGGCCAGGCTCACTGTAGGCTTTCCATCTCCAGTATACCACTTCACAAACACTTGGAGTTTGGGAAATATCAGTAGCTGTCCCTCTTGTTCATCATGATACTATGCTAGCAGGTGGGAGTTGTTTTCTTCACCTTGTCACTCATGCCGCATCACTGTGTACATATGTACACGCGAATAGTGAACATGTTGATCATCACGTGACTTGTACAGCAGAATGGACTGGTCTTGTGCACGCATCTCCCCTAAGGACAGCTGTACATATTCAGCACTGAACCCTTTTCCCTGCGGAACCTCACATGTTGCCAATCAGGGCCACAGTTATGATTCAAATACCACGATGCCTCCTCCCCCCCCCCCCCCCCCTCCTCCTCCTAGCCTTCAAGGCATAGCTACCTGCATGGTCACTTGGGCACTACAATGTATCTGTCCTGGCCTGTGTCATCATAGCATGCACCCGCCACATCAGTTCTGGCCAGAGAGAATTCCACCTCATGAATATAGTGTGTATACATGTAGTAGCGCTGTGTTGTTCGAGTGCACAAAACAGTACGTGCACTGCTAGTGCTGCGCAGCGCCCAGCGCTATTTTATTCATGAGGTTGGATTTTGCCAGTACCGCGTACCGAAGCTGCACATCAAAAAAACATTCAGACTGGGTTGCAAATTCCGGCGGGCGGTCACTCCTCAACATTGCAATCCACGGGTTAGGAGAGAGGCACATGTTTTCGGTGCACTTCTATGGATTTTGGTCCCATCCTAAGATAATGCAATGTGCAACGGTTGTTTTGCTGCCCTGGTTTGCTTACCAACATGAATAACTAATAATACGATGTACTTTTACTGCTCTCCCCCCCCCCCCCAAAAAGCGGGGCAACCCAATGAGCCGGATTGCAGTCGACCACCGCATGTCCGACGGGTAACTATTTTCAAAGCAGGGTCTGCTCCAGAGCCAGGTCAGCGACCCGGTTGGGGGGGGGGGGTACTTGGACCAGTTTGGAAAAAGAACACTGGGTCACTTATTACCCGGTTGGTAATACAATCATATACATCAGGCCCGGATGATCAGGGAGTCTGAACATATGTACGGCTCACTGATGTACACGTACATGCTGTAGCCACGTGGGTACGTACCCGCCTCTGACCCTGTTGTGCCAGGTAGATCTACACGTGCACCCGGTTTGTTTGAAATCCCAGAGCAGACACTGCACGACACTGCACAGGTGTGTGTGTGTTTGCCAGTTTAGGGTTTGGATGTTCTCCACTGCACTGAGACTCAGTATTGGGTACTACGGTTGTTGTGGGCCGGCGTTGCCTTGGCAATGACCATACTGTACCAATCTAACCAAGACCAACTGCAACACACCAACCCCCCGTAAAAAAGATCGAGATGCATTTTAATAAGAGCTACTGTTGGCGTAGGTGTGGACATCGGAGCTGGCGCTGGTTGGCAGGCCAACATCCTGGCCGATATGTTTGCTCCTCAGGGGCCGTTTACATGAGAAAAATAAGCCCGGGCTTATTCAACCCTAGGCTTACGATAAGCCCGCCTGGTCTGTCACCCAGTCATTTTACATGGTGAGGCGGGCTAGTAGTATTCAGCTCGCCCCGAGCTGAACTAGAGACCGGCGGATTCTGCTCGAAAAGCAGTGAAATTGGCAGAACCATACAAACCTTATGGCGGGAAATTCCTCGAATTCTGCTCCATTTCTTTATTCACATACCAAACATGCATGCAACTTACCAGAAAAAGTACCGAATTCTGCCAATTTTTCTGCCGGCAGAATCCGCCGGACCCTAAGCTGAACTAGCTCCACCCTGGACCCCCCGAGCTTATTCAACCCACAGGGCTTATAATTATAAGCGAGTTTTCCCGTATTTTTTCGATTTTGCCTCATGAACCAGAGAGGATGCCGCCGTGGACAGTGCGTCTCCTTTGTTTCTTTCTTGGCATTTTTTCTTCTGATTTTTCTTTCAGTGGAAGGTCCTAGCCAATCATCCTTCACCTTCCAGAAAAATAAGTGACAATCGGAAGGCAGTAGAAGCGTGAGCCCGCACTTCTTGATCCAAATTTCATTATTGCATACACGAACATTTACCACTGCATTCATGTGCGATTTGAAAAATATAATGCGCGCTGAACTCGCTAGGCCTTGACAGATTATGCTAATATTTTCGTGAAATTATGCTTTTGGCATTGCTGAAAAAATTGTAGAATTATGCTATTTTTATGCTATAAGTTATCATATTATGCCGCATTATGCTCACATATGCTGCTAATGTATAATGGTTCTGTGCAAAATAACAGGGGAATGGTTTTGTAGAGGGTGTTGTGCTGTAGTAGCAAAAGTTCAACGGGGTCAACGCACCGTCCGACCTAGCTACGACCGTCATTGATTGTAGTGGACTGGACATGTTATCAAGGGAGTCGTAAACCTACGACTTCCTGGTGCATCTACTTGTACTTGTACTTGTAGAACATGTACAACTGTGTGTAATTTGATGCGAACAGGCAAGTTATTCCAATTTTATGCAATTCGTATGCAATTTGCCTCGAATTACGCGATTATTCGATTTTGGTAGGAATTATGCGAAAAATTATGCTAGCATAATCTGTCAAGGCCTAGAACTCGCAGTCATTCACCTGAACTCAGCCCCCTACAACCGTCATGTAAACGGTTGAAAATAAGCCCGAGGCGAATAAGCCCGGGCTTATTTTCCTCATGTAAACGGCCCCTCAGTCACCGGCTTTCTTGATTGATTTTGGATTTTTTCCGAATATTTCCAAGGACTAGGGGAGCTGGAGGGTCACGGATTGGACCACCTCCGCTAAGACCTTTGGGCGAAGCCGGATCAATCGGCAATAGTTTCCTACGTCCATGCAGTAGCAGTTTTTTTAGAATGTCTTCTGGAAAGCGAAAGGGAGATTCAGAGGACTTGCCGCCGGGCGAAAAGTCCGTGGTGTGAAGGCCGCTACTTGCGATAAGTGGATCTCGGACAACGATGCCTTCCGCCTGGCTGATTTATGACCGGCAGAAGAACGATCGGCTGTTAGCAGAATGTTTGAAGTGTTCCGTGTGCATCAAGTTTGTAGACAGAGTCCGCAGTTGTAAAAACGTCAGCGAGGCTTTCATAACCGGATCCAAGAATCTGAGAACATCAGCGTTCAAGGATCATGCTGGAACGGAGATGCATAAACGAGCAATGAATCGTTTCCACAGGCAAGAGTGTCCCGCTCGAAACGCCCTCGAATTCGCTCCAATTGCGAAGGCACTGTGGAAGATGGACGATGGTGCTGCCGCTATTGCACGACTCAAATTCGAACTGACTTACCTTCTCTGCAAGGAGCATATCGCGTTCGCAAAATTCGAGTCGTACTGAATGTGTGAGATACGTCCACATAATGAGTCATTGTGAATATACTTCAGTACTACTAAAAAAATAGAAGAAGAAACACCCTGAAAATGTGTTGTGGAAAATGTCCGGGCATGTCCGGACAGATTTCGAAACGGAAGGACATATGTCCGAGCTAAATGAAATCTTAAGCTATGCCCTGGTCTTTTAGAATGTCTTCTGGAAAGCGAAAGGGAGATTCAGAGGACTTGCCGCCGGGCGAAAAGTCCGTGGTGTGAAGGCCGCTACTTGCGATAAGTGGATCTCGGACAACGATGCCTTCCGCCTGGCTGATTTATGACCGGCAGAAGAACGATCGGCTGTTAGCAGAATGTTTGAAGTGTTCCGTGTGCATCAAGTTTGTAGACAGAGTCCGCAGTTGTAAAAACGTCAGCGAGGCTTTCATAACCGGATCCAAGAATCTGAGAACATCAGCGTTCAAGGATCATGCTGGAACGGAGATGCATAAACGAGCAATGAATCGTTTCCACAGGCAAGAGTGTCCCGCTCGAAACGCCCTCGAATTCGCTCCAATTGCGAAGGCACTGTGGAAGATGGACGATGGTGAAAGAAGAAACACCCTGAAAATGTGTTGTGGAAAATGTCCGGGCATGTCCGGACAGATTTCGAAACGGAAGGACATATGTCCGAGCTAAATGAAATCCTTAAGCTATGCCCTGTAGCACCAGTACTAGTACTACTACTAGTACAATTACTAGTAGGTTTTGCAACAACACCTGACTTCCGCTTTTCAGTCTAAAAGCACTAACAGAAACCCGCCAGAATGTCAGTCGAAGCGACACCGGAACGGAAACCAGGAACCTGTTCACTCACCTGTTTAGCGATGAGTGCAGTGCGGAGTACTTGTACTGTTGTAGCCCAAAAGGCTAAAGCCGCTGGGCTGCTGTGACACAGTACAGCTGCGGCCAGTGTGCAGCTGCTCTTCTAGAATTAATTGGGTCAAAGCAAAGAGAAACCTCAGTCCTGTTTTAGACCAGGCAAGAAGACGCAGCACCTGCAGAGTTCTTCTAGTGAGTAGCAACAATGAGTGTAACCCCCGCTGAACGGTCTTCTTGGAGCTGAGCGAGTGAGCTGCGAGGAGGTAACTGGTTGTAGGCCAGTGCACTACCGTACTACTACAGTGCTGGCAACTGTGTGAAATCCGATCCCCTAGCGTCTCGTACGAATCGCTAACGCGGCTAGCGCACCGCTAGGGGGGTCGGATTTCAGTTGCCAGCACTGTAGTACACTGCACCGGTACTAGAATCCAGTTACGTCACTCAAGTTTGCGCCTTCCATGATCCACCTTTTCGCAGCCCAGTGTTCGCAGGCCTAGGGCTGCGCAACGCCTGGCGCGTACTTGAGGGACGCGACTGGATTTCATTGACCAGCACTGAGTCTGTACTGGTAGTGGTAAATACCTGCTCGAGAACAATGATTATGTGGGCTTGTGCATTGTGAGTGCTAGTGCCTAGGCTAGTGGCTAGTGCGTGCCATGACCAGCCACCGGAATGCGCTATGCAAGGAGACATGCGGGTCCACGCCACGGTATCATGTGCGGAAGAAGTCGAAGGACGGACCAGGTCGGCCTATGAAATAACAACTGAACCAGGGAGTCGGGTATTTTACGACTCCCTGAACTGAACAGTCTTGTACCCGGACTTGTACCCGGACCGGTACTGGTACTTCGCACTTGTACGCCAGGTGCGCTGGGCGCTAGGCCGACGCTAGGCCCGGCCTTCGACCTTTCCGCCCATACTACAAGTAGACGGTCTACATGTACCGCGTAGATTCTACTACTAGATCTACCGATAAAACAGAAAGGTTCCAGGCTGTCCAAGAGACTGCTCAATACCGAGAATACCGAGATAAGAGCTGCAGAGCTACAGGGTACTGTTCAAACAATTCTATCATCCATTATTATGCTCCTGTAGTAGCTCAAACTGCACCCCATCGTAACCCCATCCCCCTGCAATGTGTTGGTTTCCTTACTTGCTAGACTGATTTTATATGATTCTGGACTGATTTGAATCATATTATCTTCCTTATTGGCCATGGGCCATCGTGGAAATAAAGAATAATAATAATAAACAAGAAGAGGACGGAAAAAGTGTTTTAAGGCTCTGAGTTTCACACACTACCGCCTTTGTACCGGTAGACTATTATACTCTGACTGTACTCTGTACTCTGTACTCTGTACTACAACACACTGAAGACGGTGAAGTGCTGCATGATGGTTTGATGGTTTTAATTAATGGCTTGATAAAGATTCTAAATTCTAATCCTATTCTAAAGTAAAGGAAATGAAAGAAAGAGAGCGTTAGTGCACGACTTGAAAGTAAAATGTGAGGAATACTGTCTGCAGAGAGTACACTACTTTATCTAAGAGTAAGAGCTTACGCGAACAGAACTGCAAGCACATGGGATGAATGCATTATAGAATGGAGAGAGTGTTATGTGGAGGCATTCATTTTTGAAATTGTAGAGACTTGGGAACGTGCGATTTCAATATCAGGGACAATCGACAGAACATGCAAACATTGCGTTTGTGAGTAACTGGCCTCCTCAGTTCACAGCCACTGGCACAATCCTCCCGTTGGCAACTTGCAGACTGTACTTCATCTGCAGGTCTCACCATGTGAGATCAGCCAGCAAGTCTTGAGTATTCTGGTCATGGGCCGACACAGTCTTCTGATCCGCCTCAGCAACATTGACAGCCTGCTGCTGCTGCTGCTGCATGGAGTCAGCATCCATTAGCTGCTGCTGCTTGCTCGGGGCTGGTGCAGCAACGTTCGCTTTACTGCTTTGCTCAGCGGCGTCACTAGAATGGTCGGCTTTGTTGAGGGGCTGTTCGGCCTTGATGCGCTGGTAAATGGACTCGGCGAGCATTTGGATGAATTTCTCATGAGTTGCCACCATGTCCTTTTGGGAACCTTGCTCGTTTTGTTGTAATCCCTCAGGCGCAGCTTCTTCGCGTGCATTGGTGTGAATGGGCTTGCCTGCAGACAAAGGTGCGACCATGTGCTCCGTGTTTCCTAGGTGATCCACGTCTGCAGCTTTCACACCCTTCATGCCTACGTCTGCAGCGTTCACACCAGGCATGCCTACGTCTGCAGCGTTCACACCAGGCATGCCTACGTCTGCAGCGTTCACACCAGGCATGCCTACGTCTGCAGCGTTCACACCAGGCATGCCTACGTCTGCAGCGTTCACACCAGGCATGCCTACGTCTGCAGCGTTCACACCAGGCATGCCAACGTCTGCAGCGTTCACACCAGGCATGCCAACGTCTGCAGCGTTCACACCAGGCATGCCAACGTCTGCAGTGTTAATACCTGGGAAACCTACTCCAGCTCCACCATGCATACTTACTCCACCGGGCATACCTACTGCAGCAGCATTTACACCAGGCCGCCCCCCTACCGGTGCGTCTGCAGTGTTCACACCAGGCATGCCTACCGGTGCGTCTGCAGTGCTCACACCTCGGTCCCCTCCTCGACGATTTTCAGCAGTGTTTACACCTGGAGTATCTACATCTGCGGTTTTCACACGGAGCGGCAATGGGCGATGAAAGTCTAGCTGAGTGTTCACACGTGACCGGGTTCGTGGCGATGGCCCATATGGGAGACCACCGTCTGCACTGTTCATACCAGGGCGTTGGAGGGAGCCTGCAGTGTGCAAACCTGCTCCGGGAGGCCGCCGCCATTCGTTTGCAGTGTGCAAACCTGTTCCGGGAGGCCGCCGCCATTCGTTTGCAGTGTGCAAACCTACTCCGGGAGGCTTCCGCCATTCGTTTGCAGTGTACAAACCTACTCCGGGAGGCCGCCGCCATTCGTTTGCAGTGTGCAAACCTGTTCCGGGAGGCCGCCGCCATTCGTTTGCAGTGTAACCTGGCCTTGCACGCGGAGGCCACATCCTTTGGACTGCAGTGTGCAAACCTCTCTTTCCTGGCGGATGCCCCATCCTTTGCCGGACTGCAGTGTGCAAGCCTGGAGGGGGAGGCCGAGGCCCCATCCTTTGCCGGACTGCAGTGTGCAAGCCTGGAGGGGGAGGCCGAGGCCCCATCCTTTGCCGGACTGCAGTGTGCAAGCCTGGAGGGGGAGGCCGAGGCCCCATCCTTTGCCGGACTGCAGTGTGCAAGCCTGGAGGGGGAGGCCGAGGCCCCATCCTTTGCCGGACTGCAGTGTGCAAGCCTGACGGGGGAAACGGAGGCCACTGTGACCAGTCGACTGCATGGTCGGCAAACGTTTTCGGGGACGCTATGTGCCCGTCATTGAGATGGTTGAAAACGGTGTCTGTCAGCTGGCTGGCGAAGGCCTTCTGCTGCCCGTTCACTACGGTGTCCTCACCTGGGGGTGTGTTTGCGCTGTGTACTTGCTGCTCCTTACCAGCACTGCCATCAATGTCATCAGTGTCGTCAGTATCATCAATGTCATCAGTGTCATCAGTATCATCAATGTCATCAGTGTCATCAGTGTCATCAGTGTCGTCAGTATCATCATCTTCAGCAACATTACTGTTATCTTCACTTGTTGCGGGCACAGCAGCATTCTTGGCAATGGGCTGCTGATCTTTGTCCCCATCCTGAGAGGCCTGGGAGTCCTGAGAGTCCTTGATCTTGAATGTTCCCTGTGCGGCCTGCATGCCTGGCTTGGTTTTGGCACTGTTGGTTTTGGCGGCTTCGTACTCATAGTCACTCGTCTTCAATACGCCGGGCAGGTCAGCTGTATCACTGTCTTGGCTTGACTTCTGTGGCTCATCAATGCTGAGTTTGCCTGTGGCACTATTGACATGGTCGGCACTGTTATCTTGTACGCTTGGCTTAGCGTCAGCAGTGTTAGTTCCGGCGGCTTTTTCAGCACCATCATCTGCCTTCAGTAGCTCGGACAGGTCGGTGTCACTGAGGTCCTGGTTTGTCTTCAGGGCATCATCAATGCTCAGCGTATCAGTGGCATCAGAGGCAGCTTTGGTCTCTTGTACCTCATTGTCTTGTGCGACATTGACTTGCTGCTGCTGCCTGTCTGAAGCGTGCATCTGCTTGAGAACACTCTCCAGATGCTCCTGAATACGTCAGCACACAGCGTCAAAGGAAAACAGAAACATAACGGTATGTTTTAAAAAGATGATTGTGCAGCAGCTTTCCCACACTAGTACAGTAAACCCTGTGCCAAGCGGACCCTGTGTTTGCCGGACCCTGTGTTTGCCGGACC